GAGTGGTGAAAAAGTAACACCATTGCCATAGTAATTAACAGTTGTAACAAAATATTATCTTTTCTGAATGGTCCACTGAAACTAGTTTTGGTTTGTATTTGTATTTGGTAAGTTTTAGCTTTTGAGTTGCTGTTATGTTATACTACTTTATATAAAAAATAATAAACATTTTAATTAAATAAACAATGTTTTCCCCTTTAAACAGGATGCAAAACAATTTCAAGGAAAAACATTGTGCACACATAGGCCCAGTTTACACGTACACGGGTATTTTTAAAAACAGAGACCTTTCCCTTCGTTTGTACACATTTTTTACACGCAAACGCGAATTCGCCTCTGAAAACGAATCTTTCTAAAAACTCCGCCTAAAGTGGAGTTTCTGCAAAACTCCGGTTTCACGTTTGCGTGTAAAGTGAGACAAACGGAGTTTTAGGAGCTGACGTGCCGAAAGTGCGACCACGTTTTCTTTTGCTATGATGATGACATACAGGGGGTGCGGGCGTCCAGATAGATAGATATAGTCCAGACGCCATCCCATATGGACCTGTACATCCCAGTGTTCCTACAATTGCGACAGGAATCTATGTTCCCCGTTAACAGCTCGGGCCGTCCTCATCTCAATTTATCACCATGAACTCATAAAACAGCAGCATGTAGCCTAGAACTTTGTACACAACTCACCGCACATCCGCCCGGAGCAGAAGCGCTGAACACACAGGAGCACTCACCGTAGAGCGCAGCCCCTCAAGACGGGGCTGGGGGTCCAGTGTTGGGTAGATCGGTCCGGAGGCACCATCCTCCATGTCCTGGTTCCATACAGGGGCGAGCAAGACCAGCGCGCAAAGAACTGGGTCCGAATGCTTCAGTGCCCTCATCGGCGCGCTGGTTCTGTGTGGGGAAAGTGAGAATGCGCTGTGGACTACACATCTGGGCGGGCTGCTTCGGTACCTCCGCGCTCGACCGCGGCTGGTTCTAAGGTGGTAAAAAGCATCCGGACAGAAGCGTCAATCCGTTTGGTTCGTTGTATGTTGTTCTGAGCGGTCCTCCGCGCACGTGTTTTTTTTTTCCCCCGGGGAAAACGCTTCTTAGGTGGAAGCACCTGAGAAGACACCACTTCCTGCTTCAGCTCATCTATTTCTTCTGGTGTCTTTCATGTGTTTGCATTTGCACACACATCTGATGTATCATATTCATGACCAGAGACGAACAAGGGCACGGAGGTCAGTGATATTGCCACTTCTTTAGCATATTTGTGGAGAGGCGATTCCGCTCACTAATTCACGTTTTTACGTAATTTCGTTTTTCAAGGTATTTTTGAGAAATCCATACAACTGTAATGAAATAAATGCTACAGGTTTGAATCTAATCCAGGCGCAGCCCAGGGGCTCGGTGTAGTTATGACGGCTCTCGATGGAGGATTTATGCGGACTGATGTAAACGAAAACATTTTTGAAAATTATGTTGTGTACACGATGTTATTTTCGAAAACGTAGGGAGGGAAATATTCGTTTCTCAAAATACCTCTGCGTAAACGTAGCCATAATGGGGCATTTAATTTCCACATGGTCCCACTCAGATAGCAAGGGATCTCATAGTTTGACCTCCATCACAGCCCTCCAAAATGAAGCAGCCCCACCCCTAGAGGAGGTAAAATTCAATTTAATCTTACACCGCCAGTGCCAGTGTCTTTAGCAGTGCGAGGCGGGAGGACGTCAAGGTGTGGGATGATCTTACCTCATGGGAGAGACACAGGAAAACAGCGGATACCACTCAGGTTTGTGAATGAGGCCTCAGCTGTGGAGAAAGCAGGCACAGTTAGCTCATGTGTGTAGAGCGCGGAGGAGGAGGCACTGATCTAACTTTAGAAATACACGGCTGACACACACTTAGTACCATAATAAAACATCATCAGCCATGGGCAGGCTTACAACACATCACACACACACAGATGTAATTATGTAATCAAAGTTTTGTCCAATTTTGTCAGTTATCTAAATAAGCAGATGCTGGGGAAAAATCCAGGCACTGATTGAATTCCTGCTGGCATTAGACAGGCTTTAGAAATATGATGTGTGTTTAATCATGTTATTCTGGTGGAATGTTACAGCCAAAGAAAGAACATTTCCATGCAAACAAGCAGTAGGAGGTCCTCCTCCAGGCCAAACACAAATGAAGTTTGTGAAGATGCAAGCCAATCAGAGTAAGGACACATGTTTTTCAGTGCAATAAATACAACTAAATTGAGAAAACATTATTTTAGTTTAGTTTTATATTTTGGCCTTATATTAGGCCTATACATTGAGCAAGTGAATAATAATAATTCACCTAATCCAATGTTGGAAATATGGCACATTAGACTGGAGTATCTAAAAACAAGTGCAAATGCAAAACTAATCAGGCACATGATTTTGTTCAATTCACTGGGGTGGGAGAGCTGGTCCATTTAGCAAGTCATCAAGTCGTGTGGTAAGAAGGAATGAATGGGAGTGAAGGTGGAATGGCTAATCACCTGTGGGCACATTTTATCTGGGAGGAACACATTAAAGATGTATTCTGACAGTGGAGGCTCGCATGGAGGAGGCGGCTGTGAAAAATTGCAGTCTGCAGCAGTGTGAATCAATGGAACTGTGGCAATCTCAGGATTTTTGCCAAATACAAAAATACACTTAACAAAATAAAAATGCTGGCTAAAGACTCTAATATGTTATCCTTACAATCAGATTACCACAATAAATAGCTGGGACACAAATTTGCAAACAGGCCATTATATTGTTTTGCATGCACTCATCCATTAGCGTTGACTGATTTTTATGTTGAAGTAGTGTGTAGATTTAAAGCAGCAGAAGATGTTGTGATGTTGTGTTGTGAGTGGAAATGATTTTTGAGTTCTAATGGGGGTTACCCACTGTTAATTTTGTGATTCTTGAGAGTTGGGACAAGTCCTCTCTAAAACACAGCAATGTATAAAAATATTTTTAAAATTTAGTAATTGGCATACTGATAAAGTTAAATCTAAGGGATCTCTGTATACCAGAGCTATTTATTTGAAATGTTTTTTGAACAATTTTGATATAAATGACATTTCTAAATTAAATGTTATTATTCATATTATTAATTAAATTTTATTAATTCATTCAATTCAATTTTTGTCCTTCTAATGTTGCAAATATTTTTTGATATTGAGATATTTTGAAACGGAAATGTTCATAAATGTATTCAATTTAAATTTAAGTCTTCAGATATACTTCAACTGACACAACAATAAATATATTTCGTAATGAGTTTTGCCACTTCAAAAAACTTTGATAAACATGCATTCTTACTGTGAGTCATCTCTCTCCACAGATCTTATCTGCTTGTCACAGAACTAGATATAGTTAATACCATAATTTATAGCCTTCCGTACAAACGAATGGGGAAGAACATACCCCCAATAAAAAGTTGCATATTTGTGAAACCTATGGTGGTGCTGTATCTAGGCCTCACATGTTGACTACACTGTCTGGAAGTCCCTCCTGAAAGTGAAAGTGTGTCATCTAATGTATGCAGCCACTGCTCCTGAGCTGTTCTGGGGATTGGGATTACATCAACTAAACTGTGTGTGAGTATGTGTGTGCTGCTCCTATGGCTCCTCGCTCCTGACAACTGCAGCTCCAGCGCCTCCAAAGCTCTGCACCGTGGGGAGCACTGTTTTGCATTATCATTAAAGACACATATGGGTGCAAGAAAGTAGCTGCTGTGTGGGTGCTCTCAGTTCTGTGTAGCAAATACATTTTAAACTCACTATATTTTGGCATATTTTGTTTCCATTTTAGGACACTGATTGCAGTTTGTCATAACGCAAGGACTTCTGAAATCATTTTTTCCCCTATCACATTTCCATACCATCACTCTTGTCATGTGGTGCCTTCTTCAGGATACATTATTTTTAGCACTGTGGTATATTTTAAAGATGGAGCTGAATCTGAAAGCAGATTTTCTCCTATGCATAACATTAACAAAGGTTTTATGTTTTATAATGAGGAGAGAGCTCTCGGGACTGTGACAGAGAAAAGGGTCCCGCTTTTTAACATAAGGGAAATAAAGGGACTTAACACTCAGGACCTGGTGATCATAGCACTCAGATATGACTGGGAAGACATCCTCTGAGCAAACATTTACATCACCATCATTGTCTCTTAAAAGCCATGGGTGAGGTTTGTGCTGATGCTTTACTAAACAATTTCATATCTGCCTACTAAGAAATACCTTGAGATTAAACTGAAATTGGGGCCCAACTGCATAAGGTAGCAAGGCTACAAATATATTACAATGGAATCCTATTGCACTCGACTCAATGGGGAATGAGACATTGCATATTACTATGGAATGGCTTTTCTGTCCACTGGGCACTGGTAGCTTTGTAAATCTATGCATCTGACAAATCATATTGTTGCACTGTAGGTTGATGGGTTCTGTTAAATTATAAAATTCTACATTGCAAAAGAGAAGAAGAAATCCCCAGCTAAAATATTTGCTAACAAGGGATCAGATTCAATTCAAAAGCTTCCTCTGGTATAGCAGTAAATCACGTGGTCAATTTTTGGTTTGTGTTGGGATTACTGGAACATGTCATCTCCCTGGCCATGTCTCAATTCTCTTTCCTTGCTTCTTTCCCCTTAATTCCACTCCTTGATCTTCAATTTTTCAGCTGTCAATCAAATGTGTCATAATAAGTCCCAAAGCTCAGAGACAAGGGAAGGAAGCCACAGAGGAAGGTTTAGCAAGGGTACAGGAGGCAGACATCAAATAAAATAATCAAACTTTATTTGTCTCAGTGAGTTTAAATTATTGCTACAACTTAAATACTTAAGTACTGTTGCCATGTTAACATGTTACATAATGCTGAATTTGACATTAAAACTACGGTAGCGGCCAAACTTGCCCTGTGCAAGGTCCGCTATGGCTGCAGTGTGTGTGGTGTCTCGGACGCGTGTCTTCAATAAAAGAGAGCCCAAATACTGTGTTCCTCAACATTTATTGGCGTACCTCATAGCCATCCAAAAATACAGAGATTCGGTACTCGATAGATCAAAAGAATGTATACCTTCATACTGCAACACCTGTGCGCATACTTGCATAATTACAAATAGCGCCTCACAGTGACGGGAGGTAGAGACATGTAATAAGGCTCCAACAACTTCTTTTAAAAATGAAATGTAAATACATTTATCCGAAAATAAAGACGTTGGTCTGAAATAATAATACAGAATAATCCTCAGTATAGTTCTAACTAAGGTAATTTTGGTCAGAACCAGCGCCTGAGGAAAAGACTGCCCCATTTTTTTTAATTATTATTACACACAACTGGGTGCATAAACTTGATATAACAAACATGGCTGTGTGTCGTCAGCAGTTACATGTTGGGATGAGGGAACATAAACATAACATATTGTAAAGAAACAATACAATATAATACAAAAAAAAGTGCATTTAAGAATAGAAAATGATAATAGCAAGGGAAGTAGAGTTCATTCAGCCAGAGTTCATAAAGTCCAGGGGTATTTCACACATGTAGGAATACACTTTTTGAGGTTTAGGACCATTCATATGTTTCAGAGTTTTTATATATAATCTTAGTTCGTTTTTAAAACAAGCAAAGTTAGGGGGACATTTCTGAATTTTACATTTGTGGATGTAAAATTTGGCAAGACATAATATTAAGTTTACACAGAGTTCTTCTTTTTTATTTTGTAGTAGTACACCAAAAATTATAACATCTCTGTTTAACAAGACTGGTAAAGAACGAAATGTGGAATTGATCCAGAGTTGTTTCCTGGAGAATCAAGAAGAAGAAAGCAAGGAAAGATAATGAAACATGGCCTCGGTCTTCCTTTCCTGTCAAAACTTATCTTTCCGGTTTCTTCTATTCCTGAATTTAAAAAGATTAACAATTTAGGAAAGATGAATTAAGGAACCAGAATCTTGATTAGATTATTTATTCATTCATTGATTATTCATAAAATCTCTATAGAATTAATAATAATAATAATAATGGCCACATGTATTGTAGCACAGTCTCCAGCATTACAATAGTGCCAATCACAAGAACATCCTCACTACTACACATAATAAGTGAAAGCCGATCAGGCCCCTTCTCAGGTCCATATCTGCAGTCCAGCCCTGTTTATGTCTGAGCTTTGGGTGACGTTAATGGCATCAAGAAATCCCCAGCTGGTGGATTATTATTGCACCTACATATGGCATGTCAAATTTGCATACAATATAATTCCATTATAAAAGTTTACTACATAGGACATGTTTTAAATAACAGCTGGTGGCAAGGGAAAAACAAATGACAGTTTAATGAGAGGATATTTATGGCACTAGCTACACATACAGTGATGTAAACAGTAAGTCACCTTGCATGAGCGACTGGTCAACATTATGGATTATAGAAGAATTAAAAGTACTGTTCCATTGAGACATGTAAATGTGATTGCATATTTTAAGTGTCTATATTTAGAAAAATTGTTATTCTTCGAGATGTGTGAATGGTGGCATATGTTTGGTAACAGAGAGGGAAAAATATCCTGCAAACATGAAGTACAAAGCATATTTTAATTTTCTCATGATTTGATGACCTCTGACTGTTGAGTCAGTCGCCAGTCTTTGTTGTGAGCTTATGAAATTGATGTGATGAAAATGGTGTCTATTCTTTGCTTCTCAATTTTTGTAAATGTTATTGTATTTTAAGTGTACATTGTGAATAAAAAACTCATCTTGCAAACAATAATCATTAACATCATTTGCCAAGATTTAAACCAGTCACATGTGAAGGTTAATGGTAAGAAAAGAGTTGCGTATAGCATTCCCCTCCCAATATCTTCTTCCATCTGCCTCTGCTGGTAACAACTGCAAACATGATTACTTCCTCTTCATAAATCAAACTCCAAGCAAGCCCATACACAAATGGTAATGCAAGTAAGATTTGGACAGTCCAATAGATAAGGCGTCCTCCGAAGCACAGCAAGAGAGAGAGGTGCTGATAACAAATTGGTTAAGGACCAGAAAATCAATCAAGCCACCATCTGGTACTCGAGCACTCCGGAGACACCCACAACTGTGCGCTCCTCTGCGGTGTGTCCCCCGGTCCCTGTACACAGCCGCTGGGACAGTAAGAGCCCCCAGCCTCGTGACGGATGGCAGCAATCGGATCAGAAAAACCCACTAGCTGCACTGTCACAGGGGGATGTGACCATGCTTGGGTGGATCTGAGGCAGAGGTGTGAAACTTGCTCGTGATAATACATTGCACAGGCGTAATATTATTCCCAGTGACAAGTGAATTACAGAGATAATATTTGCTTGTTTTACCATTACATTATTTCATCATTACAGGAAATGTGCTACTGGACCCTGCAGAAAATAATATGGGTAATTTCTCGAATCAAAATTTAATCTGAAATTTTACATGTAATCTACAATTGTACAAAAACATGATCAATTATTATTATTATTATTATTATTATTATTATTATTATTATTATGACCAGTGCTGCATAGGTTTGCTTTCCAAATCTAAGGTAATCTAAAATCCTAAAGGAATGGGAAGATGCTAAAAAGAAGAAATTTGTTGCAACGTGACGTTGCAAAGACAATACTAATCCTTTTTAAGTCAGGGCAAGTAAACAGTAACATATTCTGTAAAGCCTCTTTACAAAGGCAATGAGATTTGCCCTACTTTTGACAAGACACAAAAGATATGGGCCATCCAGCTCCCTACTCAGGCACAATGTGGCCCTCTAGTGGCAAGACACCACAATCTTAGTGCCTTCATGGCACATTGAATGACATCAGAAAAACATTTCCATCAAAAGAGCAATGTAAAAAGTCCAGCATATAACTCCTCAAAAGGAATGAATGATATTTTTCAATACTTTCAACGACATAAAAATTATATTGAAAATCCTTCGTTCTTTTCAGCAAATCTAAGCAAAACATTACAGTGTCTCACTGTTTTTAAACTCCAAAAGGTAACAGTGTAATCCATTGTCTTTTTTACTTAAGATAAAATTACATTCGTTCTTCAAAATACCACTGTTGGTATGGAGTGCCAGAACAAGCCTGTAGTGAAGGTGCAGGTGTCCCATTGTCAGTTTTGTCTAAGGCGTGCACACACTTCTGGCTCATCACATGGTATAGAGTCCCATCCTAAAGCACATATATGTAAAGTTTAGGAAATGTAAAATGTACTTCATAATGACACAATGGCATTTACCTCCTTGAGGATAAATTTCTGGTCAGCTGGCATAGACTGGCCTCTTTTTCGACACAGCTGGACAGTCAGGTAGGTGCTGATGCTATCCCCGGCCATGCATCCTGCAGGTTCTCTTGTGTTATAGCGGATCTCGCCATCCATGGAGAACTCAAAGAACTGAGTCACAACATGAAACCATCTTAGACAGAATGGGGTCATTGGAAAGTTTGTAGTTGTTTTTTGTATTGTATTGTGTATATTATTATACACTGACACACTGATTATCAAAAACTGTGACAAAAATCTCCTTAGTATACTATTTACAAACAATAATCACATAACTTTATCAAGTATTTTTTTGTCAATGTCTTTGCTTGGTATTTGTATCATACCTGGTTTTGACCCATGCCATGACAGGGATACAAGATGACCCTTCCGCCCACAATGGAGTGTTCATCTGCAGGGTTGTAGTCAAAACAGTAGTTTTTCTTCCCTCGATTTTTCAACTGGAACAAACCACAACCTCATCAGCTTTTCCATGCACCAAAAAACAGATGCATCTGAATTTTGAGAAGGTTGGTTTAAGTATTTAAATTAATATAGGCTCGATTACACATTCTAAATAAATGAGTCTCACATGATCAAAAGATGTCATTTTCTACTCCCCAACTCTCTCACATGTATGCCCTCACCATTCCAAACATGCCTGGTCGGTCCTCTGGGACGTGAATATCAGGGTAAACATTTTCCAAGTACCACCTGAAGTTCTTACAGCCCAAACGCTCCTTCAGCTTCCTTCGCTCTGTCACATCTCCAAAGGCCTCCTGCAATCACACACACACTTTTACTATTTTTGCCTTTACCACAAAAAAATCATTAGGTATGTATCATTATATCATAATAATAATGCAGGTTAAACAACAGTGCCAGACAACCTTCATGGGTGTTTTGTTTTGTTGTAATGTTTACACAGTAGTGGTTTTTGTTTTGTCTCAAAATATTGTGACTAACAATCCTGAAGATCAACTGAACAATACAAGTTCCACAGCCAAATGGAGCAAATGCTATGCCTGCAGAGTTACAGGAGCATAACAGTGTTTAAAAGACTGTAATATTGTATAGATGACAGAGGATAGAAAAGATTAAAGGATTAAATTTGTCCCTTTTTGTACTTCTTAAAAAAGCTTTAAATTAAATCTACCCTGGCTGTACAATATTAGATCAATCAATATGACACATTAGATGTAAAGTATAAATGCCTATAACTACTATTACAATATATGCATTCTTCCATTTGAAAATCTGTTAATTGTCTTTATTTAGAGTCACCTAGAGAAAGCTTGATGCAACTTGAGTGTATTGGGATTTTCAGGCCACGCTGAGGTTGGCAAGGCTGCCTCCTCTCTGGGAGATGAGTGCCACCCGATCTGTGTATTGAGCTCCTCATCTTAACTACACTGTGGCACACAAACACACGGGTAGGGCACCCAGTAGTTACTAGAGCTCTGTCAAGGACAGCTGGGTGACACCAGTGACACAGAGATATGGTGTAATGACACACCGGCTGCCCTGACACCACCGTCACCCCAGGGTGCCTGCCACTCACCTCCTCCAGGTGTCACCTAATCAAGGAGCTTCACACCAAAAGCCTGCTCATGTGTGTGGAAACCAGAGCTGAGCAGTGAAATCCATTTTGTGACTGACACAGCTGTAATCAAACACTCTCACACTGACTGAAAACATTCACTTATTATTAACCATCCTGAAATAAAGAACGTCTCCACACTCACCAGGCGAGCGTGTGGGTTTCGATGGTAGTACACTTCCTTAAACTCATCCATCCACACCTCAGCGGCTCTTACACTGTTAGCCAGGGCCTTACTCCGAGAGTAAGGGGCCTTTTTGGGAAACACATGGCCCACGTGGGAACATGGATGGACCTCAAGGCTGCCTCCACATTGCCAAATCTAATAAAAAGGTACAAACAAGAAAAAGGAGCTATTGGTGTGTAATTTGTGATCAAGTCACAAAGAAAAAGTCTTATCATGAGAAATAAAGTGTCCGTCCATCTCATTTTGTTTGTGGCTTTTGAAAAAGTACGATTCTAAAATTCCTTGCAGTAATTAATGTATTTTGTGGTTTTACTGTCTTGTCTTCCAAGATACTGATGGAAAACAAACAACAAAACTCAATTTCATGAGAATGCTGTGAAATGCAGTCAAAATAGGTTGTTGATAACAGCAGATACTTAAACTAAGTATCATAACGGTATCAAAACTAAAAATGCTGGATCATTGGATCCCTAATCTTTTTGCATGCAAAATACACATCTGTCCACAGAAGATTAGCAGCAGGTGCCAATATCTCACCCTGAAGGAAAACTCCAGGTTTTCTCCACCCCACACCTCCATGCCTGTGTCATATGTCCCCAGGTACTGGAAGTAGTCCTTCTTAACAGCAAACAGACCACCAGCCATGGTAGGAGACCTGAAGAGAAATACATAAACCTTAATATACAACTGTGGGCACTTTTTTATGCTGTAAATTACACTACAGTATATATACATTATAGTCAATTGATATTTATGTTATCGGGTTTATAATACAGCTGACAGTGTAATCCTTAAAAAAGTTACAAATTGCTTTTTGCAGAAGCCATTTTCATTTTAAAGTGAAACTTGAAGTGAGGAATCTGAAATGTGTAAGATAAAGTATGTAAAACTCATTGCAGAAATGTCAGAAGAAAAACAAACCTTATGACATCAGTGGGTGACTGCCTGCGTTTCTGTTCATACTCGGGAACTGCATGCCAGGTAAACACTAGCCTCCAGTCAAAACCCCCGATCTGAGGGTCCCCAGAGTTCCCCAAATACTGAAATGTGTTCCAGTCTATTACATCGATAACAGGGCAGACTACAGCACTGGGCTCCTCTTTGATCCTGCAGAGAAAGATTCATGTTAACATCACCCATCACTGCAACAATCTATAATGGATCAGACAAAAAGAAAAAGACTCACCTTTGAAGCAGTGGCTCTAGCCACCCCTCATGGCACTCACAGTGACAGTCCAGGAAGGTTAGGACATCCCCTGTTGTGATGGAGGCCCCAAGCAGCCTGGCCCGCACCAAACCCTCTCTTTTTGTCGCTCGGATTAGACGCACTTTTCTTAAATTGCTGATATATTTCTCCAGGGGTTCCTTTAAATGTTCTATGTGACAATAATACAAAGAGCATGTCAAAATACAAAGGAAATTATACACCACCCATTGTGCAATCATTGCTTAATTACCACAGACATGGGTGTGTGCACACTATTTTCATAGTGTGGGTAGGTACCCATATGAATAATAATAATAATTATTATTATTAATATTATGCATTATTATCATTATCATTATAAGACAGAAACTGACTAATTTACGGACCAAAAAACTCCCCTCAGATAAAAAAAATGTTCGACCTTTTTCACTATAGTCGTCCACAAGCACCACTTCTTTGAGCAGGATGTCCGGGGAGGTCTCCAGGACGCTGTGCACTGTCCGCAACAAAGTAGACCAGGCCTCGTTGTAAAACGCTATTACCACAGATGTCGTGGGCAGAGTCCTATAGTCATACTTTAAGTTTTTGCAGCTGATGATAAAAAAATAAGACAGAAAAAGACAGGTCTGTGACATTGCAAGTTAATATGGAATCAATAGGCCAATTATGTGGATCAATATACGTACAGAGGATTCCATTTTTCAGCCAGTCTGCGATGTAGTGAAATTTTATCACTCAGATAAACGTTAATTTGATGCTTGTTAATGCTCTCCTCTTCTTTCCTCCTCTCCTCCTTGTTCAGTTTCAGCTTGACCGGTTTGCCCAGTTCACCCAGCGCGTTTAAGTCCAAAGGAGGTTTTTCATACACGGGTTTTTTAAGATCATCATTACTCACTTCTCCTTTTATGCTTTCTTCCCTCGGAACTTCTCGCGCGCTGACGTCCACGGAGTTGTGCCTGGAAAATATAAAATACCCCAGTAAAGAGGCACCAAAGAGGAAGAGGGTTATCTTGCATCTATTTCTTCTTCCGCAGACTGCCATCGTGTCGTGTTCTCTACGGGTATGGGGGTTTTCATGCCAGTCTTTTCATTTTGCCACAAAGTAAAGAGAGGTCTGTTGAGCCGAGTTGTAAAGCGCAACTTCCAGTGTTGGGCTGACATCAGTTGCAATCCACTTCTTCCAGAGGTAATCTGCTGCTATTTTACATCCACAAGTGTTAAACGGGATTACCAAACTCGGATTAATGATCACCTAACAGATTAGTAAACAAACCTGTAGGCTTCCAGTGCACTACAAACTAATAGGTCAAACAAAGCATCCTCAGCAGCTTTAAGGAAGTCACGCGAGTGTCCCGCATTTGTTAAAGGTCCCATCAAAGTCTCTTGAGCGATCAAGAATGAGTCAAAACTGAGTTCGCTGTTGGCTTCATACTTGAACTTGATTTGTTTAACTTGTGAGTTGGAGCAAGCTGAAAGAGACTGTGCTACATCCGGTGCGTTAATTTCAAAGTAAAAGGCCTTATTTTTGAGGAGACTTAGGCCGAATTTGCTACAGTTGCACGCGTATGACGCCAATTATTAATGTTGTATTGATCGTAGGTTAACTGCAAAATATATAAATTGCTTAGTCTACTTTAATGTTTAGTAGACCTATTCAAAAGCGGTTTTTTATTCTCGTCGTTATTTCACTGTAATGGATCTGAATTACCACAGAGGACGGTCGTTTGTTTTGATCTATCAGCAGCGAACGTGGCAAGGCCAGACTTATCAGACTTTTATCAGGGTTGATGCAGAGCGCGGCTGGTCATGGCCAGGGGTCATGATAATTCAACGCCTAAACATAAAAAATAGGCCTGTTGTAAAATATGTACACGGTAAGTGCAGTTTTAATTAGGCCTATGCAAACTCACAGGTGTGTAAATATTCAAAGTGTGTGTGTGTGTGTGTGTTTTATTATCATTATTATTATCTTATAGTATAACTTTCCGGAAACGTTTTTGTCTTGACACTGGAAACTTGACAAAGGTAAGACTTAACAATCATTGCCTCACTTCAGTGCCAGGTAAATCCTTAAAATACCATCACATTATAGATCTATAAAATATCAATAATTACACACGGATTAGCTCAGCCTTCTAGACTCATAATAGCATGAGGCTAAGGATTTTTAAGATGAGAAACTGTTGATTTCTAGAAAAATGTATTTAACACTATACCCTATGTGAAATTGATATGAAAACTAGATGAAATCGGACACAAAATGTATGTTTAAGCAAATTAAAAAGTTAAATAATTAAGGTGACGTTTCTGAGCCAGCAAGTAATATGAGTGGCATTCAGTTTGATCAAGCACCCTTAATGTGAAAAGTACAAAGACAGCGTGTAGTAATATGCCACGCCTGGCCGTGTCTATCTGACAAATAAGCCTACTCATGTTAACGCCTGAGGGCGTTTTCATTTAGGAGCTGTTTGCTGGACAAGTTTCCATTCCAACACGAATTCCTCACATTGTTTTCTCAAGGTGGCTTCCTTGTTAGCCACAATAGAAGTCATTCAGAATTATTAAGTCATTATTGTATTGTCATTATTATATGTCTGGATGATGCACAGTTATGGTTTGGTTGCCTATGTATTTACAGTATTTGATTATTTCCTTTTATTAGCTTATGGATCATGTGTCCGCAGCTGCTGTGTCGTTAATAAAGATCAAATTAAAGTAATGAATAAAATAGGCTATGCTGTCTACATAAAAATATAAACCGAACGTTCAATAATTCATGATAGAGTATTTATGGCATACAGTATACCAAGTAGGTCTAGTTAACCCTCAGATACTACAACCAGCAGCTAGAAATAGCTAAATCCAGCAAATCTTTTCTAAATTCTATAGCAGCTAATATGTGAACTCTACAACTTTTATCACTTTTAAGTTTAAAAGATTTCTTGATTAAAGGAAACATGAGCACCCCATTATAGCATTTGTTTTTCAACCACTAGGTGGAGCCAAATGATTGAGCAGACCTTCAGTTGTGCTCTAGAAAGTTAGGCAACATTTCAACATATTTCACGACACATGCAAGCTATAAAAAACAGAAATTATTAATTATTAATTATACACACACACAAAGGAACACATTTTTTTCCCCAAATATTTACTGTATTCTATTTCCATAGAACTGCTCTTCATAATATCAAGTAATCAACATTCCCTTTGCATTATCAGTAGTTTAAGAGGTACCTAGTGCATTGCACCTCAAATCCTTTAAATGAAACATGTTGAAACACAAAACATCAAATCCTATTGCATGTTTACCAATTGTATCCATTCACTATTAACTATTTATCATATTTATAATTACAAAAGGCCCACAGAGGACAAACAGTGCTCAGTAATGAGCAGCCATCACCAAATACAGCGGTAAAATTTTACCAAGAATCACACTGCAGATTTTCATCATAATCCAGGGTAGGTGTCCACTGGGTCTTTAGTTATACAATAAATGGGGGGTGGTTGATTCCTTATTCAAGTAGATTTAACATACAATATGGCACATCCAAACTGAAATATTAAAAAGGTGCTTGGTTCAAAGGCATCTCATGAATGTAAACACTCAAGTCTAGTAGCCCAGTGTTGTTTACAGCATTTCACATTCACTGACATCCATGGGCATCATCCACTTCAACACATAATTTTTTAACAAGGCAAAAACAATGATGGATGGGTCTGGATAATTGTTCTTAATTTTATACAACAATAGATTACAGCACTCCGGTCTCTGAAGCAGAATTGCACTTAGTATAGATGTGTAAAAATGCTTTCAATCTTGTTCAGGCAGCATTCTAGCATGAAAATAGCTCCAGAGACACAAGATACAATTGAGGGGCAGTCTACTGTGACCGCGTTGTTCTCCCTTTTCTCCGCTCACATGATGGAGCTGGTAACACAGTGGCTGTATTAAATATACAGTTGGACTTGTAGTACTTTCAAGGCACTTTTCAAAATGTCATCTGTACACCATAAACGACCAGAGTTTTAATAATTTATGTTACTATGTCAAGATCAATAGTGCATCCTATGGAGGGACAAATGTCTTTAAAAAAGGCACTGAATGGTCTCATTATGAAGCTTTTTGCTTTTTTTGATAAACATTGCACTTTTTTACTTGTGTGCTCTTCAAAGGCACTTGTCATCGTTCATCCTTTTTTCCATTCTTGTGGGGTTTTTTTTCCACTGTCTACACCCCTTTCACAAAATTAGGGGAATTTGGTCTTTTACTGACTTCAAAGTGACTTTCATCCACTCTTCTTATCTGCTCATTGCCTGCTTTCCTCTAAAATGAGGTGGCAACCTGAGACACTTGTAAAAAGCAGAGGCTACTTCCAGTGCAGCATATAATTATGGTTCAAATGTTGTCTGTCATTTCTCTACCACTCAAACCTCCACTGCTGGTTTTTGTCTCCTGGACTACATCTCCGCATTTGGACGTCAGTGCGCCCCTCCCCTGTGCGGAACGCTGTGATGCACATCCCCGAGAGAGGGTGGTAGATGGTCCCGTCCTGAGTAGAAATAGACATCTTATTATTTTTAGATAATGTTACTTAGGTGATTTTGTTTATGATAAGATGCTTACATTTTGAAAATCCCACAACATGGTGCGTGGTTTGTCGTCTCCATCATGAGGACAATGTTTCATTCCAATGGAAATCTGTCCCTCCAAGACTTCAGCACAGAGCTCCGTTACAGAGTTAAAGCGTATTTCCCTTTGAGATGTGTATTCAAAGTACTGGCAAAGAAAGAAAATCAGGTTTTTAGTTTTTACAATTTTGAATATTATGCAAGAGCCTAAATATATGGGCTTATTGTATTTGATCTGTCTAAAACCTCCTTCTAGCATGTTTCTTGGGTCTAACAAACGCTAACCTGGCTCACGCTAGATTGATATGTGTAATACTCTAAACTGAGTTCTACATATTTATCAATATAGAATGGCTCCTCTGCGTCACAATGGCAGAACAAGCTGAAAAAAAATATATATATATATATATTTTAAATATATATATATATTTTTTTTTTTTACCACAAATGCACAAACCACATACCTTCCACACATTTTTCACATACAAAATTGTATTTTCGCTAAAGTAGGCTGAAGTATGTCTGCCGCTTCACCTTTGCCTTCTGTACGAATCTCAGTGCTGCTCTGTCATTGGTCTGCCTCTTGTTGGGCGAGTTTGAACCTTACAGCGGGAGTATCTCAGGATGTATCACAAAAATCCATTGTGTTGTGAAATGATTTGTGCTTAACTTAATATTTTACCTGGTTGCCTCCTTGTCCATGGCAGCCAAACAGAGAAAGATGGGATCCTGTTGGACTGTGCTCTGGGGCATTGTAGTCCAGACACTCTGAGGCTATGCCTGAGCTTCGTACCTAAGGGGAGGTTTGAGGTTAAACTGTTTTGAGATCAGGATGCCTTTCATGACCTACCATTTTACAATTATATAGGAATGGGATTATTTTACATTACATGCTACTATGTTATTAAAACATTGTTAGTTTTTCTTTACATATAACTATCTAACCTTAAGTCTTGAAATGTTTTTATATGTTGTTAGTGAGGTTGGTACATTGTATTAAAATAAACTGTCACACAAAATTTTTAATCTGACAAATTGTTATCACAAAGATTCTGTATCTTTTCATTTTTTGCAGAATTTCCCATAGCATAGCTCAGTCTACTATCCTATGAGACATAAGATCAGAGAGATCCACAAAAGAACATTTTGAGCTTGTGAAAAAGAAAACTCACTGCTCCGTGCCAGCCTTCCCTATCCTCAGGTACGTGCAGTTCTGGGTAAATATTCTTCAGATACCAATCAAAACTGTTGCATTTCAGCCTGTTCCTGAGAAGCAGGCGATCTGAGATATCCCCATAATTCTCCTGCAAAAGAAGAATTCCCAACAAGTGAGTTGTGAATGCAGAATTTATTGCATTTTATTTAATTTATTCATCTTAATAAATTTAAAAGCAACTTTAAAAGGTTAAGAAAATAGATAAATATTAACATCCTCATTGAGCAGGAACCTACTTCCCATATAAGTTGTTTGTACATACTTGAGACAGTGTTTGTTCAGTCATACAAGGCTGAAACCATTCAGCCTTGTGTAAATGTTCCTTTTGTCATGCACTATTCTTCAGTATACTTTAACACTGACTGAAATAAGCTTGTTATAACTGGGTTTAACGGTCACAAGTAATGGCTGCACAGGCACTTAACTTAATGCCCCTTTCTCAGCTACAGCATAAAGACATGAGAATAAGAAAAAGCAAACTTTGTGTTAACTGATTATTTCATCATAAACCTCAAAGCAGGCTGTATTAACAGTATTGAAAACATGATCGACTTGACTTGATGTTCAATACATTTTGGTTTGATCAAGAATCTGTGACATGAATTATGTACTTTTTCAGACAGGTGAAACTGAGATCCATAAATCTTGCATGGTGCTCAATACTCAACCTGAGAGGCACCACACTCACAAACCACCAGCACATCCATTCATCCACACACACAGGCCTGGACTAAAGAATAATCAGGACCCAATATCTTAACAAGAAATATTACATTATACTATGGCCCCTTTTCACCTATCCTACTCAGACAGGGCAGACAGAGTTTCCAGTTTCAGAAACCAAGTTTGGAGAGGAGTCAACTCTGCAAACATCAATAGCTCTTCTACAGACAGCATCAGGACACTAGTTAAATGTAGAAACGGGGTAAAACCTCACAAAGTCTCTTCTCTTTGTGAACTGAGTTAACCTTTTTCAGGGTTTTAGGGCTATTGGTTATATGTACCTTTTTGGCTGGTGGATTTCTGTTGTAGAAATGTTGCTTGTAAGAGTCCATCCAAACCTCTGCAGCTCTAACCGTGTTTTGGAGGAAGTTGGGTCTGGCATAAGGAGCCTTCTTTGGGAACACATGACCCACATGAGAGCAAGGATGGATCTCCAAGTTTCCACCACACTGCCACACCTGATGAAATGCAAAGAGAACCACAAACCATATTATGTCTACAAACATCAGTTTTGAGAAAGTATTTCAAAAAAGATAAAACAGACCATGAGAATGACTCGGATATCAAGCATGTCCGAGCCTTATGCACACAAAAATATGTAAATTACTTAACACAAATAGCACAGCAAATAACTCCAACATCTCTGCATTCTGAAACTCTTTGATCTATCACTACCAGTTCAACTGAAAAAATAAATAAATAAGAAATAAAAACACCAACAATTCAAGTATGTAAACAAGGAGCAATCGGTACAACAGTACTTACTAATTACATAAATTAAATATATGAAAAACACAATTAGGTGCCAATTAAGCCAGGACAGAACACTAAAGATAAATCCAAGTACCAAGGACTAAATACACACACATGCATAACACTGTACATTACTTGGGAACAGCCTAACCACTGCACAAACACACAATAGAAATACACTTATACTTCCTCCTGGCAGAGAATAATATAATATTACAAGCCGAATAGAGTATTGTTAGAGGCATTTTGCTGAACTGCCAAGAAGCACAAATTAAGTGCCCCTGTTAGAAACTTGAGAAAACCTTCACTTACCCTGAAAGAGAGTTCCAAGTTTTCTCCTCCCCACACCTCCATCCCTGTATCATATGTGCCCAGATACTCAAAGTAGGCCTTGCTCACGGCAAATAAGCCACCAGCCATTGTGGGAGACCTTTAAAGAACAAAGAAGACACCAGGTTCAAAAGCACTGTCATCCATAATGGAAATCTGTGAGATTTTTAATATTTATTATTTATTTATCAAAAATCAAATTTCATAATTTCCTATTCCAAATGTGTGACTGTATATACCCAGTTTAAGAAATAGATTTTGGAAAGTAACAACTCAATTTGGAATCTGAATCAGAATACGCTTCATAGCCACTGTCAGTCAATGAACAAAATTCACAAAAAACGGGGAGGTGAGCAACGTAAAACACTGAATAATAATAAAAAATATAAGCTATGATTAAAAAAATAAAGAATTGAAAATTAGGTTAAGAAAAAAATTCAAAATGCTGTATGTTGTAAAGAAGATTTCTGTCATAGTTTCTCTGTGGACTGGCCAAGCCCCTGTCTGATCTGTTGTAACAAAGATTAAAATAAACCTTTTTCTATTTCATTACTCACTAAAGTTTAACAAATTGATTATTATCTATAACAACATGTTGGGTGCTTTGAAGAAATATAAAGCAAATATGTTACTGTGCCATTGTAACAATAGGAGATCAGTGCTGGGGCCAACGCCAATCTGATAATGCAGTCCTGGCCTAAAGTGCCACAGTGTCACCTGATGGGGTCAGTGCGGGACTTGCGCCTCTTGCGTTCCACTTCAGGGACAGAGTGCCACTGAAAGGTGAGTCTCCAGTCAAATCCCCCGATCATTGGCTCATCCGTCTGCATATAATACTCAAATGTGTTCCAGTCAATGGTGTCGATAACAGGGCAAATAACAGTGCTGGCATTCTCTCCAATCCTAAACACAGAATTAATAAAATATTTACAAAATATGATTGGGGCGATCTCAGCATATGCATTACTGATTTAGGAGGCACACCTTTCAAGTAGTGGCTCAATCCAACCTGGAACACACTCACAGTGACAGTCCAGGAATGTCAGTACGTCACCTGTGGCGTAGGTGGCACCGATAAGACGCGCTCTCACCAACCCTTCTCTTTTATTGGTGCGGATGAGGCGAACACGGCGCAGTTTACTGATGTAATCCGCCAATTTAGATTTCAGGTATACTACAGAACACACACAAAGATAAACATAATAAAATAACATTTGCATAGTTCACTTGACTCAAACAATTGTTTGGAGGAATGTACATTTCCCTGTCCAACCTGTTTTTGTGTTTACGTGTACCGCTGTGAATAATAAGCAATACAGGTATAAGCAGCTGGCCCTCTTTTTTGTGGCTACAATAGGAAAAAACAAGTCAGACTGGACTGTGGCTGGGAGTGTCGTCTAGCATTCCCTTCAGTCAGATGAGAGGAAGTGATCTCATGGCAACTCGGGTCGCATTGAAGTCATCCTTCCAGAGTAATGTCTCTGATACACAGATAGACTGCCAGGGACCAAACACCAATTTCATTAATGCAAGCAAGACATAAAACTACACCCGATATCCAGTTTGCAAGACAAAGCAGTGTAATTTCAGGGTTTACCAGCCCATTCCAGATTAACTTCTATTCATTGATGGAGAGGTGCTCACATGCTGTTGATGAACAAGGGGGATAGAGTAGCCAAATAAAGTAAGAACAAAAAACTATATTTAATACAGATGGGGGGCAGCTAAAATGAATATAGTTAAAATGTAAAATTATGTTGTAATACAGTGAGTTCTAGGGTCTAGTTAGTAATAAAAATGATCAGGTTAAACTTTTGTGCATTTACTTTGTGGTTATTTCGTGGCAAAGCACAATGTTATTAATAAAAAGCTGTCTTTTGCTCCCTTCTGAGAGTATGGCGTCATCACATTATAGAGTCTGAAAACTACTAATTGGGAAATTAGTGAATAGGAAAAAATCTTAGATTGAGATATATAAGTTTGAACCTTCTTCTGTAGAAAGACAAAACAAAATGCACGACAGGTATTTTCAAATAGACCTAAAAATGTGAAAACCTTGTAGAATTTTATACATACTATAGCCTATATAAAAATTCTTATATGTATCACATTATTTTTTCCAATATTTAAAAGTCATAATTTAATTTAAATATCAAATACTGAAAAAAACAAAAGACCCACCTCGATCACTATAGTCATCAATAAGTATGATCTCCTTCAGAAGAATGGCTGGTGTTGACTCGAGGACGCTGTGAATGGTCCGCAGCAGAGTAGACCAGGCTTCATTGTAAAAGGCTATGATCACTGAAGTAGTGGGTAACCGCCGATAGTCATACTTCTTGTTCTGACATCTTAAAAGGCATTTTTGGAGAGTTAGACAAAATCTGTTCAAAATCCAACTGTAGTATTTGTACATTTCAGAGACTATATAAAAGTTTGTATGGTCTCAATCCAGATGGCAGCCATTAAACCAATCAAATGAGGAGATAGGGGCGGGTTACACCATGGAGCAACATACCACAGTAGTGCTTGGAGAGGCTGAAGAAACATGAACAAACAGACGAAAGGCTAGAACTGACACAAGAAACCAAAAGGGAAAAAATCTAAAGCAAATTAAGAAAGGGGACACAAGGGTAAGTGTAAACTGTGTGCTGAGTTTAAATTACCCAATCCATAACAGTGTGTCCACGAGGAAGCCACAAGTACTGCAGTTACCCACCATAGTTACAGCCAAAGAATTCAGACTTCAGTGTCAATGCTAGCTGGTTTTAAACACAATTTGTACAATTTTGGGTGTGTGTATTTTGATTATAAACTTGTCTTGTAAACAAAATTCAAATATTGAATGGAAGATGATTGATTATAATCTCTAATCTTGTTTGTTACACAGAAAAAATAAGGCAATTAAAATCATCAGATTAAAGCCATGTACGAAGAATGATGTGTTACAAGCAGTGAAATTACAGGTCTGCCTTCAACGATGAACATGACATCTGGAGATGATTAAGGAGAACAGGATAAGGCGGAAGACAAAACCACTCATAAAAGTTGTGCTTTGAGCTGTTAGCATGACAGTACTGAGAGCAACTGTTCTGGATAAGATCACTGAGTGGAGGCATGGCAGCAATGACTAGCTTTAGTAAGCACCACAGCAGTGCATTATGGGAGTCATCATCCTCACTTTGCACCAGTGAAGGGCTCAACATAATCTCCTCTAGAATATGTCTGACAGTAGTATAGTTTCAAAAGTGGTGCAAAACTAAGCCATACACTGATTCGCATTTTTAACCCAAATGAAAGGTGATAGTACTCACTCACTCATCCTGTTGTCCTGAATGTGTCTGTGGAGGGAGATTTTGTCACTGACAAAGATGTTGATGGCGTATCTCTCCACAGCATCCTGCTCTTGCTTCTTCTCCTCTGGACTGAGGCTGAGGTGTGCAGCCCGGCCCCACTCTCCCGGGGCATTGTGGTCTGCAGGTGGTTTGAGATACAAGGGTCTTGACAGCAGAGCTTCAGCCCCCCTCTCCTCCAAGATCAATTGGCGGGCCTTCACCTCCTCCTCATCTTCCTCATCCTCTCCTGAGTCAGAGAATGAGGAGCGGGCCAAGAACAGGTACCCCAGCCACAGCAACCACAGCAGGAAGGTGGCTTTGGCCAGCACCCCCAGTTTCCGAGAAAAGCGTCCCCTCATGACAGCAATGAAGGGTGGGTTCACAGTATTCTGTGCCCTATAGGACACAGGCCTCTGCAGAAAAGAAAAAGTAACAATTACAATTCAGCTGTTCTTAAACAATTCACTAATTCATAAATTAATTCTTTAACTCTTTCATTATTGCGTGAAACCATATAACTGATTATATCATTCAATGAAATAAAACGGTGGTAGATCACAACAGGGAAGTTTAAAAATTAAAAATAAGAATAATTCAGTAATAATATTATACATTTTTTAACTTCCCTGTTGTGTCCTACCACTGTTTTATTTCACTGAATGATATTATCAGTTATATTATAATATAAACTATTAGCAGAATGTTCACTGTATATCATTAAAACAAAATCTATTATTAAGATAAGTTTAAAAGGCCAGTTTTAAAGAAAAAGTAACTTTTCCTGGCAGCCACTATTTATACAAAACATCTATCTATCCCTTTCATAAATTAAAATGTCAAAGGCAGACTACGTGTGTGATGCCTGATAGTGATAAAATAAAAAGTAAACCCACAGAGGATGAATGCAAAATTAATGTATAACTACTGTGGTCTTTTCACTATAGGAATGGCCAGTACAAAAGAGTAAATATTAGTGAGGTACTGTATCTTTAATTGCATTATGTAAAGCACTGAGCAGTCACACAGAGAGAACCCAGTTTCTTTTATGGCAGCACCACAGCTCTTTCACTGGCTGATGTTGGGTTCAGGCCAAAGGACTGAGGGAGTCCTGAGGTTACAAAATGGAGACATCCGCAAACAAAACCCTCTTTATTGGCTGTCCATCACACCTTGGACTCTCTCTAAATCTGATAGCCTTACTGGGGAGCTATTTAGATCACAGACAGCTTTTGATGCAGAGAGACCCAACACTTTTAATTCAAACTGGGCAGTTTCAGACTAGTAAACTTAAAAGTATTCTGATTTGTATCTGCTGTATTGCAGAGACGTGACTGTGATGCTACTATATATATATATATATATATATATATATATATATATATATATATATATATATATATATATATATATATATATATATATATATAATTTATTTATTTTTTAGATTTATGATAAGATTTACTGTGTCAGTGTCCTGTCATACTTACTGTACGTGACAACTTCACCTATTTCCATATTACTCATTATCTACCTAGAAAAGACATTATATGTTCATAAATCCCATTAAATACTATTTATTTGAGATGCACTTCATATCATTATTGCTTATACTGCCTAGTATAGTTAATTTTTGATAGTACTTCAGCAGTTTTTGGTGCAGAGTGACACTGCCCAACCCTACTAACACGTGCAGAACTGGTTGCACAGACCCAACAGAAAACGCACTTGAGTTTTCACTGCCCTCAACCCACAGAACAGGATCTTTGGATTCCTCTATCACGAACCTGTGGCAGTAAAGGCTCTGAGCTGTAAATGAAAAGATGGACTTTAAAATATCATATTGTACATTTGACACACACTGAATAGTGCAGCAGGAAACAATAGCATCGGCCTACACTTCTGGATGCTCAGTCATTTATTGACCACCACTGACTACTGTTAGCAATGACCAAACTCGGCAGCAGACCCATAGAAAAATAGGTTGACAGCAGGCTATTGTGTTTGTTTACTAAAGCCAAATTCAACAGGTTAAAACAACAATCTTTCTGTGTACGTCATGGCGAAGTGCTTATGTCGGTCTGAAAAAGGTTAATGATTAATCAGCGCGTACTGAAGAACTGAATTAGGTTAAACCATATATCCGTACGGACTTCTTCGCAACTTTAGCCTTGGATCAAGAAAATCAACAGCTCATTGGACTTCAAAGGAAAGCACTTATCATGGGTGAGGGAGACGCCATCGCACAAACTGTAGCCTACATACAACTGGCAACTCTAAAAGTTCTAATCTGAACACACTGTACACCGCCAACTCAATCTTTCAAATTAAACTAAAAGTAACCAAAATGGCGATTAGAGAGTTCTTACCGTTTGGATAAGTTACATGTCGTGAAGTTTCCTGGATCTCGCTGGCTGTAGTTGGTCTGCTTGCTGCGGTCTTGTCGCTGTACACCCCTGGCTTGCAGATGTCAGCATACACACATCCTCCTCTCCTCCTCCACGCTGCGAGGAGGACGCACGGCGACAACCCAAACCAGCGCAGCGACAAACGCGACCACTTTTCCGTTCAGTTCTTCCACAATAAAAGACAGCTTGAGGCATAAATCAGCTATAATAAGAGATAATCATGAATGTAAATGTAGTCTTATTAAAATGATAAGCCTGTAAAGTAGGCCTATACTACGTTATCAAGTCAACCAAAAGTGGCATATAATTTAACTTTAATTTGATTAATTTAACTTCCGGTTGCATAACGTACAACAAATTAATTGATTATAATATCAGAGAATAGTAACACAGATATTAAATGATAAAATGAAGAATAGGCTAAAACTATCGATTAGTAAATAACTATACTGTTAGAAACTGATTGATTTCATCAATCAGAATTCAGTTGGCAATCCACAAGCATTTGACTCTACACTATTACAGCTATGTCAACCTGTTTAATAAAAGAGATTGTCAGCATGACTGCTATACATATATACATGTTTTCTTACTTCTTTGGCAAGTTCTGCTGGGTCTTGATTTTTATGTAACAATAAAATTAATTTTATTTTTATTTTTTTAAATACTATAAAATTACTATAACAATTTGTTGACAGTCAGAACTTCATGATGACCAGGGACCAATCTTGACTACACACAGCCATATGAATTGTCAGAGATGACTTTTCTGGACCACATAGCCTGGAGTATGCAATGCGCTAGTGCAGCCTGTTGTCAGACTGACACCTGCACCACTTGGTCCCCTGCCAATGTCTTTTATTCCTCCCTGTTTCCCCTATTCCTCTCCTCCTCTTTTTCTTCTCCCCAGTTTAAACCAATTGACACTTCTCTGTGTGTCAGGCTGGTGTGCCCCCATTCGGAACTGAAAGGGGTCCCATTTCCTAGATAGGCATCTCAGGCTTTCTCATGTACAAGGAGGGCTCTTGTACAGGTCCTGCATTTCAACCTTTCTCCCATTCATACTGCGGTCATTAGTGTACAGACGGGGCAGTCACTTCATAATGCAAGAGACTGACAGCTGGGATTGTGTTCACATTTCAATAATTTGCTCATTTTTATACAATTAATGAAAACTGTCAATGCAATATATTAGGTTACAATATAAAACAAAAGGCATCAAATTCTAAGAGGTTTTGTGCAAATCCAGTGTTTCTATCCACAGTAAATAGATTTGTATAGCCCCTTGATGTGCTGCTCAGAGCCGTAAGCCTCTCCATGACTTTGCTGCTCGGAGCCGGCTCAGCAGCTGCACAGATTATGATTGAAATCTCTCTCATTTGAGGAACATGAGGCGAGCGGATTTGAAGAATGCCATCAGTGAGAGTTTGACCCAATGCCACAATAGTAGGATTAGTCAGGGAACTTTCAAGCACAGGGCTCCATCTAGTGGGTACAATGGGTAAATAACATTAATTTATGACAACCTGTGCTTGTGTTTGTGATTATACACTGTATTTTAATGTTAACGGCATTACAATACAATACAGTTCGAATAATTATAATCATATCAATCATAATCATAATCATCATCATCTTATTACGTGTCACTTTTAAAATTAATGAAAAGGGACTGAACTAGCCTATGCACCCCCCATGTATATTTAATCAAAGTGTTTTTTATTCTAACACCTTATTTTATAGTTTATATTTATTATTGTATTTTTCATTGTTTTAAGTGTTTTATGTTGTACTATTTTGCTGAAGCACATTCCTAATTTGTGAATTTCTGATTACTGAAATATATTTATTCTTAAACAAAGGAAGAAGGTAGGAGATGTTATAATATGAAATATGGTTGTCAAGTTAATCTACTCCTCAAACTTTCTTCTCTTCTTAAGTCATAGAATAAGATGCAGAAAGACAGTGCTGCTGTGTTGTGTCCCACATTCTTTTTATTACAGCTCCTTTCACTAAACTATAGCTACTGATTTCATTAGCAGAGTGTCCTTTCTGCTTAGCATTCATTTACTCTATAGTGCAATAAATCACAGTGAGGATGGGTCACATTGGCGGACCAGCCCTATTTAAATTAATGGAGATAGTCTGACTTGCATTCTTTTTTATAATCTCCGGAGACATGGTGACCTTAAGTTGAAGAGCTCAAATATGGTTATCAATTACTGGAGGTTATGTTTGCCCTTTGACCTTGGAAACTTAAAGCAGATGCTGCAAACATGTTTTCATCATGAAGGCACCAATACAATCACATTTAAGCTTTATTATTCTCTTTTGTTAACTTAAAAGAACAATATTCATGGCTCTAACATGGGTGCTTCTTTACAAATATTCCAGAATCTTTAAGCAAATGGAAGCATTAAAACTTCAAAACAGGTATTTTAGTTTTTGGTAGTACCTCAGCATTTTGGTACAGGGTAGACATACAAGTCAACACTCCCCAACCCCAGTAATAAGTATAGGATTGGTCGCACAGAACACAAATTTGTTACAGCAAATTTATGATCTCTAAAGTTGAAGTTAAAAGCTGTTAGACTTTTTTCAGTAGAACTTTTTACTACCTGTTCAAAATTGGATTAAACAATAAGCCTGAAAAGCTTGGTCTAGTCTGGTTCCTGAACAACTGAATTTTGTGCTTTTAATTTTGGATATTTTGGATACAGTATGTACAGCCTGTACATACATACAGCATTTAATAAATCAGCAAGGTCTAACAATGATTACTTGTCAATATGAAAGAAGTAACTATTTACGTGATTTGACATGACTGCAGAGGTGCTGATATCCAGTATCTCAGTCGTATTGTGTTAACCTTGGAGAAGTGTGGAGTGCAGCATTATAGATCCTGGACAGTTGGCTCACTGCTTCTCGCTCTGAGCCAAATCTGCTGTTGCTGTTATGCCTCTGAGATGTCTAAATCAGTGGACTGTGTGTGCACTTACGAAGGTTGTTTGTGGTTCTGCAGCCAATCAAATGTGTTAACGGCATTATTATTTAGCACATGACAGTTCTGCCAAATGTATTCAAGACAAACTAAAAATGTTGAAATAAAATCGTACAATGTTTAGGATTATAACTTTAACTTTTTTTTTTTTTTTAAATGAAGTGGTATTTTTCAAGTTAACAGCTATGCTTACCTTTTGTTCAGTAGAGATTGGCAATTCCATGACTGAATTTAACCAAATGATTCTAGTAAAGGTGCACACAGTACATAGTGGAGCACTGTGTATTACCACAAGACATCATAAGGTGGAACAGAGTGTTTTTCGATTGAGAGAAGAACTCAGCCTAAATATGTAGGGTTTGTGTATTAAACGTGCGATTGAAAGAAAACACAATTCTGGGTATGTTTTAATGAGGAAACAACATTATAGCATAATATAATATATAGATCAGAAAACAGGGAAAAAATATGGGCTCTTTAATGCCATATTGTGGAACATGGGCAAATTAGTAGCATCTTCCATGTGGACTGGCAAATGATGTACCAAAAATGCTATATAGTATAACTGAAGAGCAACATTCTAGCACTGAAAAATATGCACCCACAACAAATGAGCAGCAGTTATGACTTTATAAATCCAAGATTCATTGCACATTCTCTCCTCAGTGTTCTTTTTTTCTGAGCTACACATTTTTGCTTGTTAGGGTCAGTGGCTCTGTGTACTCCCTGCATGCTAAATGTGTAAAAGAGGCTGATCAGCTAGGACAAGTGTTTCATTTTCTTCAGCAGTGCAGCCTCCGGTCTGTGTGTGTGTGTGTCCATTTGGGCTGTTGCTTATTTGTTAGTCAGTCGAGCCAAGGCTGTAGGACAAAGCAGTATCCACTTGTCTATGCAGCTGAGGTCTTTGCACAGCCAAATCAGCATTATGGAGTGAAGAGACGAAAGACGAGAGGAGAGACGATCCGGACACAGTGATCAGTGTGTGTTTGTGTGTGCATGTGTGTGTGTGGGTGTGTGTGTGTGTGTGTGTGTGCGTGTGCTTCTGTGTGTGTGGGTGTGTGTGCATGTGTGCATGTTTGGCGCGGTGACTGCGTGCCAATCAGTCCACTCAGCAGTAAAAACACACATGGGCAGCACAAACTTAAGGTTACTGCAATCCTAGCCAGCACAGTTGTGATTTGTATTGTAATATATATTGTAATAAGTTATGACCATGCATTTGATAGTGATACACAAAACAGAATGAAATAAAATGTGACAAAACAGTCTTTTCTTAGATAACTCTTGGTTTATGGTTTAATGCACTTTCATGCCAGGTCAACAAAAAGTCCATACATTTATTTAATTTTGCACTGCAACGTTAAAGGGGCACTGCGTAACTTTTCTGAAGACTCCTGCTTGTTTCCATGCAGGTGGCAGAGTCTTCTGCCACCTGCATGGAAACATTCCGTCTAATACTCCGTAGTATTGCATTAAGCTTGGGGACACGTATCCCACCAATCCAAGTTACAGGTCAGATCTGTGTAGAGGCAACTTCGTTCACAGTTTCATGCTTTATATTTTTTTTATATAAAATACAAGGAGACAACATATAATCTTAATTCCATACTGTGAAACATTCTAGGCACTGTGGGACATAAGCAGATACTCATCACCAGAAAAATTGTGGTGTGCACTTTAAAGTTTTGATTTCATAATTTCAAAAGAGACTGAAACTTAGTTAGGTCATTACACAGGCATATTATGTAATATCCTTACATTCACCCAGACGACCCGAGTCTGTTCCTCTGTCACCAGAGAAACACAGCAGCCCCTGCCCCACTCAGCTTTTGGACTTCTGGTTCATTACTGCATCAGAGAGGCAGAAGAGAGAGTGGTGTGCAAAACTGCACACAAACTACTGAGTACTACATGGGCAAAACGCCATGTCTGCTCTCTTTGAAACAAGACGGAGAAATAAACAAGACATTGTAATAATTGGCTACTTCTCAAATGAATGTGACAGCTGCTGATGCTCCGGTCCACAGGGGGGTGGCGAGATAGAGCTGGGTGCCATTTGGGCGCACAAGGAGAACTGGTAGCCTGGAAGAGTGAGTTGTTTGTTTGTCATTTGTATAAGGAAGATGC